ATATAATATATATATATATATATGTATATATGCATATATATATATATATATGCATATATACATATATATATATATGTATATAATATATATATATTCTGTAGCATAGAAGATATATATTTTGTTTGCGTGTTTGCATGCAGCCCCATTGGTAGGTCAGTGGCGTTTACCCCCTCATCTCCACCTGAGTGCATTTTGTGTTGTGAATAACACAAAAACTCTCGCTTTAGGGACCTCCGATGGGGCTTGTTATTTGCTGCGGCTAGACAGCAGCAGCAGCAGCAGCAGCAGCAGCAGCAGTTCAGCAGGCATTCCAGGGGCCCTGCTGAGGCTGCCCACGCCGAGGGTAACTCCCGTTCCTCTAACTGCTAGACCTACTGTGCTGTTGAGTCTGCTGCTGCAGCAGGAGCAGCAGCAGCAGCAGCAGCAGCAGCAGCAGCAGCAGCAACGGCGATGGGTTGGAGGTGTGCCCATTCCAGCAGCAGCAGCACGCGCTGCTTTATCTCTGTCTCGTTTATTGTACAGCTATGGAGGGGAGCGAGTGGTAGGGAAGCGTTCTGGTGCAGGGTCAGCAGCAGCAGCAGCAGCAGCAGCAGCAGGGGCAGCAGCAGCAGGAGCAGCTGCTGCTGGCAGCAGCGTGGCTTGTCTGACTCACCTCGACACGTGCTTAGAACAGCTGCTGCTGTATGCTCTACGCAATGGGGTTATGGGGGGCTGGGATTTAAGAATGTCTTCGCCTATATTTTTAACACAGACCCCTCCTTGGTTAGGGGCCCCCTCAGCTCAAGCAATAGAAGCAGAGGCCCGGTGGTTGCTGCTGGGGACAACTGCAGGTTTGCTGCTGCAGTTTGATCTGCGCATGCAGCAGGTTCTCAGAGCCTGGCAGCTGCAGCCTCCAGCAGCAATCAAACAGCTCCTCTTCGTATGCCCTCCTGCTGCTGCTGCTGCACTCAACAGCAGCAGAGCGGCACGCGCCAGCTTGAAAAAACAACAGCACCAGCAGCAGCAGCAGCAGCAGCAGCAGCAAGATAGCCCCACCTGCTGCATGCTTGCACTCATAGAACATGAGGCTTTCCCGTTGCTGCTGCTAGACCTGCAAGAGGGGACAGTTGTTACTGCTTATAATACTTCTTGCTCCTCAGACGCCACATTAGCAGCAGCAGCAGCAGCAGCAACAGCAGCAGGAGGCGGAACATCAAGCTGCTTGGGGGGTGAGGGCTACGTGTTACCCCGTCTTGTTGCTCTGCCAGTGGAGGTGCTGCTGCTGCCATCTGCATGCAGCAGCAGCATTCTGCAGGAGCCAAGAGAGACGGGTATGCTAGGCGGTGCAGCAGCAGGAGCTGCAGCAGCACACAGCATTAAGTGTATATGGGCGCCACCTCCTTTGAGGGGCCCCTCGGGTTTTGTTTTATCGGGAGGTGAAGACAGCTGCGTGCGGTGCTGGGATTTAGCTGAGGAGCGAGCAGTGCTAGCAGCAAGACTAGGAGGAGACACAACCCCCCCTCAGCAGCAGCAACAGCAGCAGCAGCAGCAGCAGCAGGTGTGCGGAGCAGCAGCAGGAGGGATATTCGAGACAGCAGCTGCAGCAGGTGTCTGCTCTGATCTTATGCTTCTAGATAGAGATCTTGTGCAGTCTTACTGTGTCTTAGGGCCCCCCAATGCATGCCGATGCAGAGATAGAGACAGCGGGGTAGGTCTTGCTGCTTCTCTCTCAATAGGGGGTGTGCACGTGCTGCAGCAAGTTTGCTGCCGCTCTCCTCAAGGTCGGCGGTTCCTGCGACACGCATCCCCAGCAGCAGCAGCAGCAGCTGGTACTGCTGCTGCTGGGGTGCAGGGCATGGAGACAGCGCGAGGAGACAGCTGGGAGGCGCTGCTTGCAGCAGCAGACTCAGGTGAAGAAGATCATAGAGGAGACACCTCCCCACGAGCAGCAGGAGACAGTTTGCTTCGCAACGGGCGAGACTTAATGACGCTGGGCACGGGCTGCAGCAACAGCAACAGCAACAGCAGCAGCAGCAGCAGCAGGGGGGGCGGGTTTATAGGGGACTTGGAAGGGGGTTGCTGCTGCTCACCTCCAGCTGCAGGCTGCGAATTTGCTTCTTGGGCCCCTTCATGGGACGACGAGGAGAGCAGCAGCAGCAGCAGCAGCAGCAGCAGCGCAGCAAGAGGGTTTGGGGGGCCCCTGCCTGTACACCGCGACGCCATCACAGGCCTTGCTGTAATAGGGCAGGTGGATTTATATTTAGTTACAGCAGGTAGAGATGGAGTTGTTAAGGTTTGGTCTTAGAGACATTAATGCAGTAGTGCAGCACACAATAGTTGCTGCTGCTGCTGCTGCTGCTGCTATAGCTGTAGCTGTGGGGGCAGCAACTGATGCTGGAGCCGCAGGTGCAGCAAGTGATGCTGCTGCTGCTGCTACTGATCCTGTTGCTGCGGAGGCAGCAGCTGATGTTGCAGCTGATGCTGCAGCTGCGGGTGCAGCAGGTGGTGCTGCTGCTGCAGCTGGTGGTTTAGTGGCTGATGCTGCTGCAGCGTTTGATGCAGCATCCAATGCTGCAGCAGCTGCTGCTGCTGCAGCAGATGCTGCTTGTGATGCAGATGTCACGCATACTTTTGAAATTAGTCTTAGCAGCCACTACCGCAGTTTATAGCTGCAGCACTTCCTTTTCGGTGCAGCAGCACCTTCTGCTGCTGCTGCAACACCGTCTGCTGCTGCAGCAACAGCCTCAGCTGCTGTAGCAGCTGCTGGAAAAGCATCAGCAGCACCTTCTGCAGCACCATCTGCAGCACCATCTGCAGCACCCTCTGCAGCACCGTCTGCAGCACCATCTGCAGCATCAGCTGCAGCAGCTGCTGCAGCACCATCTGCAGCATCATCTGCAGCAGCAGGAAGTCTTGATGATGAGTTTATTTCGGGCAGCGTATGAAGTTGTCTCAAGAAGTCATAAAGAAGGGACGCTCGTAATTCTTTAGGGACAGAAAAAAACAAAAAGGAGACAAAAAGAGACAAAAAGAGACAGAAGGAGACAGAGACAGAGACAGATAGAGAGAGGGAGAGAGACAGACAGAGACAGAGAGACAGAGAGACAGAGACGGAGACAGATAACGAGAGACAGAGACAGAGACAGGCAGAGACAGAGACAGAAAGAGACAGATAGACAGACAGAGACAGAGACAGAGGGAGACAGGAAGAGACAGAAGGAAACAGAGAGAGACAGAGGCAGAAAGGGACAGAATAAGAGAGAGACAGACAGGTGGAGAGAGCGAGAAAGACAGAGACATAGAAAGACAAAGAGAGACAGAAGGAGACAGACAGATACAGAAAGAGAGAGAGGGAGACAGAGAGAGACAGACGGAGACGGAAAAAGACGGGAGGAGACAGATTCAGAGACACTGAGAGCGCGGGCACCTGTCTGCTTTGTCTGTCTCCTACTCAGTCATCTCCTTCACATACGAATGCCGCTGAGGGAGACAGACACAGAGAAAGAGATAGAGAGAAACAGGAAAAGAGACAGAGACAGACAGATACAGAAAAAGAGACAGAGAGAAACGGAGACAGAGACGGAAAGAAATAGAGACAGAGACAAAAAGAGACAGAGACAGAGAGAGACAGAGAAAGAGAGAGACAGAGAAAGAGAAGTTGACAGGCATGGATAAACAGAAGCACAGAAGAATAAAAAAACAGATACACGCACCGGCAAACAGCAGCTGCTGCAGCATTTGCTGCTGCAGCAACTGCTGCAGCAGCAATGGCAGTACTTTGTTTAGCTGCAGCACCACCATTGAAAGCAGTTTCTCTCTTTTGCTAGGTCGTGCACTCCAGCAGCAGGAGAGGAAGCAGCAGCAGGAGAGGTAGCAGCAGCAGGAGAGGTAGCAGGAGCAGCAGCAGCAGGAGAGGCGCAAGCAGCACCAGCAGCAGGCGAGTTAGTAGCAGCAGCGGCAGCAGGAGAGGTAGCAGCTGCAGCAGCAGCAACAGCAGCTGAGTGTCCTGTGTGTATCTTTCGAGGTGATTAGAGAGTATATGTGGGGTTTTATTTTTTACGTTTTGTTTATATACATTAATAATGAAATAGATATAATATCCATATCATATAATAATATATATAATGCACTTTCTATATTAAATTATATGTATGATATAAATATAATATATTAAAGTATAAATATAACTACTGCATTTATATCTATTTATTATTTAGGGTTAATTGGAGAAGAGACAATAAACGGCGGAACCCTGTAAATAAACAAAACGAGAAAAAGAGTTTTGCTGTGCCTGCAGATCTGCAGGCTGCTGCTGCCTTAAAATAACAGAAAAAGAAAACGAAGAAATTTGGGGTGTATGGGCAGTACAGCAAACGCAGAGAGGCGGTGCGAAGACCCAAACTCCGTAGGGAGGAACAATGCATGCATGCATGCATGCATGCATGCGTCTATCCATTTATGTATAAATGCATGCATGCATGCATCTATCCACTTATGTATGCATGCATGTATGCACGCATGCATGCATGCATTTCTCCATTTATGTACGCATGCATGCATGCATATATGCATTTATGCATGCACGTGCATCCGTTATGCATGCATATGCATGCAACCATTTATGCATGCACATGCATCCACTTATGCATGCACATGTATGCACGCATGCATGCATGCATGCATGCATGCATCCATGTGCATGCATCAATCCATTAATGTATGCATATGCATGTATTTATGCATGCATGCATCCATTCATGCATGCACGCACAGATGCATGCATGCATGCAGACCTCAGAAGAGGTAAAGATACTTAATTCTACGGGCAGCTACTGAAAAAGAAAACAAAGAAAAAGAAGAAGAAAAAGAAAAAGACGAGGGTTCCTTGCCTACAGGTCAGGAGACACCTGAGCTGCAACGAGCTGCTGAGGGGCTGCTGCAGCTGCTGCAGCAGCTCGGGTGAGAGTTTGCTGCTCCTTTAACTCAAATAGTTATACGACACATACCTTCGCTGATGTCCCAGAAGGGGCTGCGGCGGCGCTGTTGCTGCTGCTGCAGTTGCTGCTGCAGTTTCTGCTGCTGCTGCTGCCCGCAATGCATGCATGCATGCATGCATGCATGCGTCCATATGTACGCATCAGCCGGTGTGTGCATGCATGCATGCATGCATGCTACTGGTTCGGGGTGTAACTGCTGCTGTAGAGTTTGGCGTTCTCCAGCGGGGCTTGAGAGAAGACAGCCTTTAGCTAGGAGACAAAGACGGAAGGGAGGGAGACAGCTGCGCTGCTGCAGATGTGCTGCTGCAGTTGCCGCTGCAGTTGCTGCTGCTGTAGTTGCTGCTGCAGTTGCTGCTGCTGCAGCTTTTCCTGCTGCTGTTATTGCTCCAGTTGCAGTTGCTGCTGCAGTTGCTGCTGCTGCTGCTGCTGCAGTTGCTGCTGCTGCAGTTGCAGTGGCTTTCAGCGCGTCTCATGAGTGTCTTCGGACTCAAAGGAAAATCCATTAAAAATAAATACACAGACTTTCTTTGCATGCGAATATGCATGCATGCATGCATGCATGCATGCAAATATACATGCATGCAGACTTACTATAGAGCAGCAACAAATAAGAATACTAGAGAATATATAAAATATATAAATGCATGCATATAACTTAATTAACTTAAATAAATAACTTTAAGAGTGTCTCCTCCCGTCTACAAATGAAGACGAAGCAAAATACATAAAAACGTCGGAGGGCCAACAGAGCGCAGGGATCCGATCCCAAGAGCTGCTGCTGCTGTTGCTGCTGCTGCTGCTGCTGCTGCTGTTGCTGCTGCAGCTGTTTCTGCTGCTGCGTTTGTTGTTGTTGCTGCTGCTGCTGCTGGCATGAGAGGCCTCCACCGCCCAGAAAGGAGACGCTGTATTCGCATAGCGGAGGCGTATATGAAGGGAGCCCGCTTTATATATATAAATATATATATTTAATTAGATATATTTATATATATTTATATATATTTATATATATTTATATATATTTATATATACATATATTTATAAGATACATATTATAATCTACATACTATTCGTATAACATCGTATATGTATGTGTATTATATACATATATATAAAATATACATACATATACATATTGTATATGTGTACATATTAAACATACATATATAATATATTATATAGTTTATTTATAAAATATATATACAACTGTCTCCTCGCTGCGAGCCCCAAATGGAGACACTTAAAGCTGAAGGAGACCTTAAAAACAAACTCGGGTTATACACTCCAGCGGGGGAAGTCGGAGAGCGGAAGGGAGAATAATGATACTGCGGCTTCTGTTACTCTTGCTGCTGCTGCTGCTGCTGCTGCTGCTGCTGTTGGGGCCTGAGGCCCACGGCTCTGCTGCAGCAGGGTGAGCGCTGCATATAACCAAGAAGATTTCGTCGGCTCAGCTGGGCGTTCGTCTTCTCCGCCTGCTGCTAACAATCAAATCTTTGCTGCTGCTGCTGCTGCTGCTGCTGCGGGGAATGTAGCTACTGCTGCTGGTAGGTTTGCTGCTACTGCTGCTACTGTTTTAGCTTCTGCTGCAGCATTTGCTGCATCTGCTGCTGCTGCTGTTGCTGCTGCTAAACGGTTAAAAAAGAAGGGCTCCATGCGAATGCGGTGTCTCCTTCTGTTGCTGCTGTTGCCACTGCGGAAGTATTGTCTCCTCCATTAGGAGACTCCTCTTTTAAAAGGAGGCCGACAGCAGCAGCAGCAGCAGCAGGAGGGTAGTTGCACGGTTGTGGGGCGGCTGCGTTCGCGATGGGGATCGATGTGGGGTCTGCTGCTGCGGTTGTGCTGCTACTGCAGCTGCTGCTGCTGCTGCTGCTGCAGATAAGAGACAGAGTATTCAGCGCTGCGTCGGTGTCTCCGCCCTGCTTCGGGGGGAGACCGTCTCCCTGAAGATGGTGAGCTGTTGTCCCTTCAATGCCGGAGGCGCTGCATGTAGTTGCAGCAGCAGCAGCTGCTGCTGCTGCTTCTGCACTGCTGCTGCCAGAGAATGAGTTGTTGCTGGCGAACTGAGCAGCAGCAGCAGCAGAAGCGGTGGGGTTGTTGTTATCTGGAGGGAAGCCTGGAGTAAGGGGGCCCCCGGCAGTTGCCTGGGCGTGGGGGCCCCCCGGGTTGGGTGTCTCCTCAATGGGGACAGCAGAAACAGCAGCAGCAGCAGCAGCAGCAGCAGCAGCAGCCGGTGTCTCTAAGGGGGTCGGCATGCCCCCCAGGAAGAGGGTTGCCTGCTGCTGTGTATGCCTGATGGATTCGCTGCCTCCCGCAGCAAATTGCTGCTGCTGTTCTGCAGCATCTGCAGCAGGAGACAGCCCCCACAAGTATGCTTGAGGTGTATATACAAGTCCGTTGCTGCGGACATCTGCTTCGCCTCGTTGTAGCTGCTGCTGCAGCATATGACTCCCTGTCTCTTCAACAGGCTGTTGCGTATGCGGTAGCATCTGCTGCTGCTGCATCTGCTGCTGCTGCTGCTGCTGCTGTTGGTTGTTGTTGTTGCTGCTGTTATTATGATAGGCCGCTGTATGCGTAGATGTTAGAGTGTGGGGAGCAGCAGGTGCTGCTGCTTCAGCAGGTTCTTCTGGCTGCTGAGGAGACAGACAAGGTTCGTAAGCAAATGTTTGCTGCGCCTCCAGCAGCAGCTGAGCAGGGACACTACGTGCTTCACATAAAGCTTGAAGACATAAAGCCCTTGCTTGCTGCTCCCCGTGTTTAGGTGCTGCATATTGTCTTGTCTTACGGTGACCACTGGTCCTATCATGCCACTCTGCTCTCCAGCAGCGGACACCCCGAACAAGCAGAGAATATATCCGTCCTATTGTCCTGCTGCTGCTGCTGCTGCTGCTGCTGCTGCTGCTACGGCTAGAACCCCCCCCACCATGCTGTCCCTTACGCCCACCTCCTCCCGTTGATGAACCCCCACAGCGAGAGCGTCTGCCTGAGGAGACACTTGATGGTCCCCCTCCTCCACTAGAGGCTCCTGCTGCTGCTGCTGCTGCTGCTCCTGTTGCTGCTGCTCCGGCTCCTCCTGCGCCCGCTGCTGCTGCTGCTGCTGCTGCTGAGCGTACACCGCCACATGGAGATACACCTGAAGGCCCACTCTGCCCACCACCCACGTACACCCCATCCGGAGCACAACCCAACGGAAATGAATCAAGTGAAGCAGCAACCCCACGCCCCAAACCTTGCTGCTGCTGCTGCTGCTGCTGTTGCTGCTGCTGCTGCAGAGACACCTGGGAGTCGCAGGGATTGAACGCAGAGGGGGCCGAGTATAACAAACCACCCGGCGCTACACTTGAATTGTTTAGAAAAGGAGTAGGCATGCTGTGGGGCCCCACACCTCCCGCTGTCCCCTGCAGCTCCTGAGGGGATAGAGGGCCCTGAAGTGCGGAGAGAGCATTTGGAGTGTCTCCTCCGCAGCACATCCACCGCGGTCTGCTGCTGCTACCATCAGCAGCAGCAGCAGCAGAAGCAGAAAGCACTTGCGGGCCTCCAGAAGGGCCGAGCGGCGGAGCTGTCGCTGCTGCTGCTGCTGCAGCAGCAGCAGCAGCAGCAGCAGCAGATGCCTCTCCTGGAGCAGCAGCTCCTCCTGCAGCGAAGTCCAGCAGCCCCCCAAAGCCCAGCGCGCCGCAAGGGCCTAGCGGCACTGCAGCAGAGTTTGTTAAAGACCCGTTAATGATGCTTCTGCTGCTATTCGGGTATGCAGACATTGAAGAAGTAGGGGGCCCCCAAGGGAGGCCCTCCCCTTGCAGAGCTCTCTCGCTGCTGTCTGGGCGATATCTCTTAGCAGGTGGCTCTCCAGACTCTAGAGAGGGGAGCCCGCAGCTGCTGCTGCTGCTGCTGTTACTGCTGCTGTTGCTGCTGCTGTTGCTGCTGCTGCTGGGGTCTCTTTTGAGCAGCAACTCGGGCCCACCTTTGGCGGGCCCCGCGCAGGTGTCTCCTGCCTCTGTTGCTGCTGCAGGCTCTGCAGCAGAACCCCAAAATGTTGCTGCGTTGTGGAGACTACCTATAGATGAAGGGTACAGCTGCAGCTGCTGGGGGCCCCCTGTCCTCTGGGGGCCCCCCGCCCAATCTGCTGCTGTTGCTGCAGTATCTGGAGGCAGCTCTTGCAGCGCTGAACCCTCACCCATAGGGGGGCCCCCTGTAGATAGAGGGGCCTCAGCTAGCTGGCTAGCGCTAGCTGAAGGCTGTCCATCTATGCTGGCTTGAAAGGGCCCCTGTGGGGCGCCCACCACGTAGCTGGGGGCAGCGGCAGACTCATCCTTACTCTGCTGCTGCTGTTGCTGCTGCTGCTGCTGATGCTGCTGCTGTTGCTGCTGCTGTCCAGGGTATCGAAGGGCCCCTGGGGAGTCGCCGAATCCAGGAAGAGAAGCGAAAGGCTCGGACTCCATCTGCTGCAGGTGTTGCTGCAGGTGCTGCTGCTGCTGCTGCTGCTGCTGCTGCTGCTGCTGCTGCTGCTGCTGTTCTGCGCTCTCATCGTCGGCAGGACCAGTGGTGTCGGAGGAGGCGGGGCCTTGGTCAGTCAAGGTAGTAGGTGTCTCCTCTCTGTGCATTGGCTGCTGCTGCTGCTGCTGCTGCTGAGTGAGTCTGCTGCTGTGGGTATTAGCAGTGTCTTTGATGCCTTCTCGCTGCACCCGTCCCCGCGTGCAGGGCCTGAGGGAGGCTGCTCTCTGGCGACACGCTTCAGCAGCAGCAGCAGCAGCTGCTGCTGCTGCTGCTGCTGCTGCGTGAGGGTTAGGCTGCTGCTGTGGGGGGAATCCATTGAAGCGGGTTTCTTCTGCTGCATCTCCTAGGGCCTCCCCCGCAGCTATCTCAGTACCCTGACTCGTCTGCATCGCCGCCGCCGCTGCTGCTGCTGCTGTTGCTGCTGCTGCTGCTTCTGGAGTTCCAGCAGGATGTGTATGCATTTCATCTGCATGCGGTGTGTCTTGTTCTTGCAGCGTAGGGAGTGTAGTATTAGGATTGGTAGGGATAGCGTTGGTGGTGCAGCTGGTACTGCAGCTGGTGCTGCTGCTGCTGTTGCTGCTGCTGCTGCTGCTGCTGCTGCTGCTGTTGCTGCTACTGGTGTTATTTGGGGTGTCTCTGACTTCCTGTAGTATACCTTCAACACCCTCTTCTCTTACTCTTCGCGTCACCTCAGTCAGGCCCTGCCACTCCCCTCTTTCTAAGCCTTCTGCACTTCTTTTTCTGACTTCCGCCCAGAAGCGAAACGCAACATCTCTAGCTCTGTCTCCTCCTCCATATCGGTTCTCCCCAAAGTGTTTATACACCCTACGCCCTGTCTCCGGAGACACCCATTCTACCCGCCAGTAACGCCGTGTGCACATCACAACGTGATAGACGCGAGGAGGAGGGGGGCGTGCATGCAGGCCTAGAAGCCGCGGCTGCTGCTGCTGCTGCTGATGATGATGATGTTGCTGTTGCTGCTGCTGTTGTTGTTGCGGAGAAGGAGGAGGATGAGCTGCAGAAGAACTCGCGGAGGAAGCACCAGTTAAGCAACAGTTATTGGTGTTAGTGTTGTTGTTGCTGCTGTTGCTGCTGCTGCTGCTGCTGCTGTTGCCGATGCTGCCGGGCTTCCGCTTGTACATCCCAGAGACAGAGACACCTGCTGCTGTCTCTACAGCTGCAACTGGCAGCAGCTGAGGCCCCGTCCCCTCCGCAAACGAGCAGTCTCTTTTTACTCCGCCCATCAACACTACGCATGCACCTCCATCTGCAGCCCCACACAGCTCACCTCCGCTGCTGCTGCTGCTGCTGCTGTTGCTCGCCTCCCCAGTGCCGCCGCCGCCGTCAGACGCATGCAGCGGATGTGCTGAGGCACCCGAGGGCCCCCCGAGTGCAGCAGCTCCCCCCACAGCCTGCTGCTGCTGCTGCTGCTGGTTGTCTAGCTGCGCGTGGTGGGGGATCCAGCCCCCAGCACGGGGACCCCCGTCTCCTAGGGGCCCCAAAGAGAGACCCTGTCCCTGTTGCTTCCCACAGGAAAAGGCCTCAGCAGCAGCAGCAGCAGCAGCAGCAGCGGCAGCGGAGGTTTCAAGTTCTTGAGTGCCGCTGTTGCTGCTGTTGCTGCCATTGCTGCTGTTGCTACTGCTGCTGCTGTTGTTGTTCACGTTGAGGTTGGGAAACGCCTGCGCGCTGCTGCTGCCTACTGCTGCTGCTGCCCCGCTCACGGCGCCCCCACACAGCTGAGGTGTCTCCTCAGGTGTCTCCTGTGTCCTCAGTAGATCAGCAAGAGCCTCGGAAGTGTCTCCTTGCTGCTGCGCTGCAGCAGCAAGTTGCTGCGGGTCGGCCCAGTGAGGCAGCAGGTGCGGGGGGGCCCCTGCCTTTGGGGGCCCCCCCTCCCCCAGCAGCAACTCGCCAGCACCTGCATGCAACTGAGGATGTGGGGAGACACCTGAAGCGCAGCTGTCTCCTTCTTCAGAGATATCGTAGATGGGTCTCCTCCTCCTGTTCCCTGTCTCCGTTGCAGGTGTCTCCTCCTGCAGCAGACTGCTATGCAGCCCCCTCTTTGGGGTTGGCTGCGACTCTGCTGCTGCTGCAGAGAAGAGACAGCTGGGGAGACTCTGAGCACCAGCTGCAGCAGCAGCAGCAGCAGCAGACGTAGCTGCTGTTCCAGCTGCTGCTTCCCTGGCTCCTTGCATATCCCCAGCAGAGCACAACGAAGCTGCAGCAGTCTCCTCACCGCCGCAGCTCAGGGGGCCCCCAGGGCCCCCAGGACCTGCTGCAGCAGACAGCAGCGCCTCTATGGGGGCCTCGTCTCCTTTAGGAGAAGGAGAAGATGAACAGGAGACAGTTTGCATAGCTGCATCTACGCACACCCATGGGGGCCCCAGCGGCAGCACGGGGGCCCCCGGGGCTTCTCCAAAGTAATTTGCTGCAGGCCTGCAGTGAGAGAGGCTGCTGGGGGCCCCCCCCTGAAGATTTGTCTCTTCTTTCAAGGCGCATGCAGCAGCAGCCCCAATGGTGGGTTCATGCTGCTGCCCTGCTGCTGTTAGAAGGGGACTTGCTGCATCAAGCTGCAGCAGCTGAGCTGTAGACGAAGGAGCAGCAAGGGGGCCCTCTTGCCTGTCTCTGATGTCTCTAACGGTGGAGGAGCAGAGACACTGCATCGAAGACAGAGACAGAACAGCACACACCGCAGAGGCAAAAGGAGACACATAAGACTCTACTTCCACATGTTGCATGCATGCATGCATGCATGCATGCAACATGTGGGGACTGAGGTGAATGGAAGCAAAAGGAGGCAAAAGGAGCAGAAGGCCCGCGGGGTGTATGTACAGTGCAGCACAGGCAGCAGCGAGAGAGAGAAGGAGAGAAGGGGCGCTGCAGCAGGAGACAGACACACCAGGTGTCTCCTTCCTCAGCAGCAGCAGCAGCCTGAACCTACCTTCTGGCAACATCCCCAACTTCGACAGCCTGCTGCTGCTGCTGCAGCAGCACGCCGACCTGCAGAGAGACACAAAGGATGCTGGAGAGCTCCTGGGGGGCCCCCCTCCTCCCTCTGCTGCGCGTCCATGCTGCTGCTGCTGCTGCTGCTGCTGCTGCTGCAGGGGGGACGTTGCTGCCTCCTGCAGCAGCAACTGTCTCCTAGAGGAGCGTAGCAACCGCAAACCGGTGCCGGAGCCCCGGCGTGCTGCTGCTGCTGCTGTTGCTGTTGCTGTTGCTGCTGCTGGCGTGGCGTGGCTTGCATCCCGAGCTGCTCCGCGTTACTGCTATCTGCTGCTGCTGTTGCTGCTGCTGCGTTGCCTTGCATAGAGTTTGCTGCTGCTCCCTGTGCAGCATCAGGGCCTTCGAGTTTGTTGGAGACACCAGCAAAAGGAGACGGCAGGGTTGGGGGAGGAGACAGCGGCGGTGCCTGGGGGCCCCCCCCATGTGAAGGGGGGCCCCTGCCTATACACTCGGGAGGCAGCAGCTTCAGGCCAAGGCTACCTCCTGTCTCCTTCAACCCAGCAAAGCAGCAATAATGCAGATCAGGAGAGTAATTAAGAAGAGAGCAGCGGGGGCCCCTGGGGGCCCCCCATCCGTCAGGGGGCCCCTCGGGGCCCCCACGCCTGCTGCTGCTGAGGCCTGGCAGCAGCAACGGAGACGCCCCCAAGCCACCAGAGAGCATACCCCTGCAGCAGTCTCCCCGCAAGGGGACAGCTGAGGAGACACCAGAGGAGACAGCAGGGACAGGCGCTTGATACGGGGCGTGCATGTCGCTGTTGCTGAGCTGCGTGGGGCCCCACGGTTGCGGCGGAGACGCCTGGTGTCCTCCTCCTCCTGCAGCAGCAGCAGCAGCAGCAGCAGCAGCTGCTGCTGCTGCTGTTGCTGCTGCTCCGCATGCAGGGCCGCAGCACTTGCAACTGCAGCGAAGAGCATGGGCATCTGCATGCTTCCTGTCTCTGGTGTCTCTGGTGTCTCTGCTGTCTCCTCCTCCCCCCCAGCTGGCCCCACACTTCGAGTGTCTCCTTAGGCGACTTAAGCAGCGGCAGTTCTGTCTAGCGAAGAGACGGCGGCAGCAAGTAGAGACACCGTGGCTGTCATCTCCTCCCCCAACAGGGCCCCGGGGCCCCCCCCCTTTGCTGCTGCTGTTTGTCTCCTTTTCTCTACACATCACTAAGCAGCCACCGCAGCGCTGCACAGAGGGGCCCCTGCAGAGACACCTGGAGTTGCCAGCGAAGCAGGGGCCCCCTCCTCCTAGGGGCCCCCCTAGGGGCCCCTCCTGCAGAGACAGTCCCCACGGAGAGACACCCCAAGCCTGCAGCAAACTAGCAGACTTTGCAGGACAGCAGGCGAGAGGGGGGCCCCTGAGGCCCCCCAGACGGAGACAGGAGACACCTGAAGAGAGACAGGAGGAGACACAAGGAAGCCTTCGTGCCCCCTGCAGCTGCTGCAGCGGGAATTGCTGCAGCGGGAGCTGCTGCAGCGGGAGTCTTCCCATTGTCGGCCAGACAGACAGGGGGGCCCCCTCTGACCTTAGCTGCTGCTGTCTCCCCCAAAGTGCAGCAGGAGCGAAGCAGGGGCCCAGGGGTTCGCAGGTTTCTGTGTCTGCTGCTGCATCATTTAGAGACACTTCATCATCAACACAAGAGAGAGGCAGCAAATCAGAGAGCGGCAGAGCAACATCAGAGACAGCTGCTGGACTCATAGGCCCCAGAGGAGCAGCAAGAAGAGCTGCTTCTTTATCTGCAGCAGATTGAGGACAGAGACGGCTCAGGGGGGGCACAGGAGAGCGCATGCAGCAGCAACCAGGAGACTCTGGGATCGTGGTACGACGCAGCGATCCCAACTCCGTCGTCTCCAACCCCACAGGCAGCCGGGAAGAACCTGGGGTGTACAGACACCCGCTGCTGCTGCTGCTGTTGCTGTTGTTGCTGTTGCTGCACCCGCTACTGCTGCTGCTGCTCAGGTCCATGTCGCTGGAGACAGGAAGGCTCCCGCTGCCACTGCCGCTGCTGCTGCTGCTGTTGCTGCTGCTGCTGCCTTCGGAGCAGCTTGCGTAGCTTAGAGGGCTGAGAGACGGCTCAAGGGAGTAGAGACTGCAGAAGCCCCAATCAGAACATGAGAAGGCATCAGCTGTCTCCATCGCGTCTGCTGCTGCTACAGGCTGCAGCACGTCCTGCCCTTGCTGCAGCCCTTGTTGCTGCTGCTGCTGTTGCTGCTGCGTCTCTTTCTGCTGCTGCTGCTGCTGCAGCTGCGGCGAAGCAGCTGCTGGGGTCCATTTGGGGCTGAGGGGCTCTTGCTTAAGGAGGCCTTTAGGGGAGGAGAGACAGCAGTTGTTCCTAAAAGGAGACAGATATTCTACATGTGTACTTTCGCTGTCTCCTTTTGGTGCTGCAGCAGCAGCATCACAGCTCGAGACGGAGGAGACACGGAGACACCCGGGAGTCTGCGCATGCGGAGCAGCCTCTAAGCAGCAAGACGAGCTCTCAGGTGTCTCCTCAGCTCCTTGGGTGAGGCTTACAGCCCCCAATTCCTTGCAAGCAAACGAAGAAGAGACAGGAGACAGCTGCTGAGGAGACAGACTGGGGCCCTCCTCGCTGCGGAGGGGAGACACCTTGGGGGGCCCCCAATGCTTCAGGCTGGGAGATGAAGGCCCTGAGAAATGCATGCAAACAGAGACAGAGAGACAGCAAAGGCTCCTGCTGCTGCTGCTGTTGCTGTTGTTCTGCGGGTACTCTGCTGCTGCTCAGATGCTGCTCTGTTGCTGCCTGCTGCTGCTTTGATGCTGCTCTGTTGCTGCTCTGTTCCTACGCTGCTGCTGCTGCAAGGATATCGCTGAGGTGTCTCCGCACTGTCTCCTTCTGCTTACGGCTGTCTCCTTTCTGGGCCTTCTGTTGAGAAGAGGTTTCTCCGGGGGCGCAGCCTGAAAGTCCCTGGAGTTCGTTAGGATGTTCAGCTGCTGCTGCTGCTGCTGTTGCTGCTGCTGCTGCTGTTGTTGTATCGAGCGGTTCACCAGAATTGGGATCAGGTGCGTGCTGCAGTCTTCGAGGAGACGACATAGCACGGGGAGAGGACAGCTCCTGCTTCTGCTTCTGCAACAGTAGCTGCTGCTGTTGCTGCTGCTCCTGCAGCAGCTGCAGCTGGAGCTGCTGCTGCTGCTGTTGCTGCTGCTGCTGTGGCTGCATTTTGCAGACCTGCGTAAGGGATTCAAATGCCTGAGGCAGAGGAGACGGCGGCAGGGGGCGGCGCTCGGGGCCCCCAGGGGAGACAGCAGCAGCAGCAGCAGCAGCAGCAGCAGCGGCAGCAGCGGCGGCC